CGGCTCGGGAATGGCGCCAGGGGCAGGGTCCCCCCCCCGACGGACGCGGCGGTACCGAGGTCGGCTCTGGCGCAGGGCTCGCCGCGGGCTCCGACGTGGCACTTGTAGACGGCCCCGCGGCGGTCGCCGTCCCAGGGGGCCGCCACCAGGAGCCTGCGGGGACACGGAGGGTCCCGGCACCGCCCGGCTGCGGCTGCCCGGGAGCGGCGCCAGCGCGGCCCAAGCTCCGGCCGGGAATGCCGGGATCGGCCCCGGAGCGACCCCGGGGAGCCCCAGAGCCCCATTCCTGCCCCGGGAAGCACGGAGCGCGCTTTGCCTCCATCGCCCCTTGCCCTGCTGATTTCCCCCTTTTGCGCCAAGTTTCCCTGCCTCGCTTCCCTCTTTCCTGCCTCGGTTTTCCCCTCAGGACACCCACCCCTGCCCTGCCCCACACCTCCACTCCCTGGGGACGCTTTAGCCCCCCACAATGGCCGCCCCCCCATCCCCACCCCATAACACCCATGGGTGCCGCCCCCCCCCCCGCCCCATAGCACCCATGGGTGCACTCACCACCGCTCTGTGCCATTCACCCACTGCAGCACCTTGTACCCAAACTGGGCCTGGGCCGGGCCATGGAAGAGCCGTGGGTGGCTCACGTCGATGTTGAACCCCACACACAGGCCTGGGGGGCAGGAGGGGTTTGGGGGGTCTTCAGGACCCCCATGTGGGGTCACAGCCCCGGGATTGGGGTGGGAAAGGGGGAGATCCTGGGGGGGGGCATTGGAGCAGCTGCACCCCATATATAGTACCCCACATATAGCACTGGCACCCCATATATAGCACTGGCACCTCATATATAGCACCCCACATACAGCACTGTCACCCCATATACAGCACCCCACATACAGCACTGTCACCCCATATACAGCACCCCACATATAGCACTGGCACCCCATATACAGCACCCCACATATAGCACTGGCACCTCATATATAGCACCCCACATACAGCACTGGCACCTCATATATAGCACCCCACATATAGCACTGGCACCCCATATACAGCACCCCACATATAGCTCTGGCACCTCATATATAGCACCCCACATATAGCACCCCATACACAGCACTGGCACCCCATATACAGCACCTAGCACCCCACATACAGCACCACAAGCACAGCACACAGCACCCATGGGTGCCTCAGTTCCTCCTTTCCCACCTCAGTTTCCCCTTCTTGGACGTGCCCTCAGTGTCCGGCTGGTAACCCCCAACGCAACATCCCCATTTTGGCCCAGTTTTGCCCTTTCTCCCCCCCCAAACCGCATTGATTTCCCCACTTCCCAGCTCCTCCAAGTGGGATCCAGCTTCTCCCCCCACATCCAGGAGGAATTTTGGGATCCCCCATCCCAAAAGATGCCCCAAATCGGGATGATTTCCCCCCAGAACCCCTCTGAGTTGGGGCTCGCACCTTCCCGTACGAATCCCACCCCAAATACCGTTGGATCTGGGGGCGCCGTTACCTGGGAGCAGGAGGATCCAGCAGCCGGCCCCCGCCATGGCCATGGCTCAAAGGTGACTCTGTCTCCGTCTGGGATGTTTTTTTTTTTCCCCTCTTTTTGGAGTTTTTCCATAGTTTTTCGCCCTCCTCCTTCGCCTCCCATTGGCTGCTATAAATAACGTGCCCGAGCGGGGCTTTTTTGGGGGAGAAACGCTGGAAAAACAGGCAAAGTGGCAGAAAACCACGGGAAAACAGAGGAGGGGAAGGAAGGAGCCGGCGGGACGATGCGGGATCATCGTGTGTGTGGGGTCCTCTTATCCCAGCGGGTCCCCCCCACCCCTCAGGATGTGAACCCCATGGATGGGGCAGGGCCATCCCCAAGGACCCGGCTCCAAGGCGGGATGTTGGAATGGGGCATTGAGGGGTGCCACGTCCTCCGGGTGACACTGCCACCTCCTGGACACTGCTCCCATCTCCTGGACGTTGTTCCCACCTCCTGGATGTTGTCCCCAGCCTCCTGTTCATGGTCCCCATCTCCAGTTCCTGGCCCCATGATTCCCATGGGATCAGGGACTGGATGCCAGAGGGACAGTGACTGAATCCCAGGGAATGGAATCTGGAACCTCAGGGGATTAGGAAAGGGATCCAGGGAATGGGGAGAATTGGGGACAGCATCGGGGGGGGTGGAGGGGGGAGATCCCCAGGGACTTCGGGACTGGCTCCATGGGGGGATTTGGATTGCAGGGAATCAAGGACTGCATGCCAAGGAGGATGAATCCCAGGGGAACAGGGACTGGATCCATGGGGGACTGGAGGGCAGCATCCCCAGCGGATCAAGGACTGGATCCTGGCAGTTGATGGTGGGAGTCAGGAGCATGGGGAATACAAACAACTGGGGGAATACGTGGACTAACAAGGGGGAAAATACCTGGAATAAGTGGGAGGTAACTGGGATCAAGGGGGGGAATCTTTGGAATAACAGGAGGGAATGCGGGGGTATGTGGATGGGAGGAATACAGAATAATGGGGGAAATAGGTGGAATAACGGGGGGATTTGGAATAACGAGAGGGGAATGTGGAACAAGATGGGGGGAATATGTGGAATAACGGGGAGGGAATAGCTGGAATAATTGGAGGGGGGATCTGGGATAATGGGGGGAATATGGAAAACCAGGAGGAATATGTGGAATAATGGGGGGAATACGTGGAATAATTGGAAGGGGGAGTATGGAATAACAGGGGGAATATCTGGAATAACACATGTACAGACTATTTATTAACAGCACTCTGGGGGTACCTCGGAGCATAGGAGCTTCCTGAACCCCATTCCAGGCTCAAAATCCAAAGCTCCTCATCCCATTCATGACATTTTTCCGTCTCCATTGCTGGGAATTCCCAGCCCCGTTCCTCACAGCCGGAATGCTGCTGCCTGCCCTGGACAGCGCCATAAACCCCAAGTGAAATGGATAAACCGAGTGAGGCAGCAGAACAAGCTGATGGGAACAATGGGAATCATGGCACGGAGCTGCCCTCACCTGGATTCATCCCAAGGAAAAGCCCTAGGAGAATATGTGGGAAGCAAGGTGCAGCAGGGTGAATCCATAGAGCTCCAAGGCATCCTAAATCCAGCCCGGCTCATCTGTGGCCACTCCCTGCAGCATCCAAAGGGGTGTTGGATACATCCCACCTCATCCCACCCCATGGTTTAACTCCCTCAAGCCTGGGAGAAGCACCCAGGGAGCCTTTTCCAGCTCTTTTGGCTGGATCCAGTTTGGGAGATTCCCTCTGAAGAGGAAAAAGGGAAAATCAACCCCCTAAAAGAGCCGGGGAAGTCGATGGGGAAAAGAACGACGTTTAGGTCCACTGAGTTCTCCCATTCCTTGCTGGCACCACAGGCAGTGGGAGGCGCAGAATTCCCACCGCATCCCATCGGTCCAAGCCACCGCAGCCAAGGAATGACCCCGTGTATCCCGGTGGCAAAGCTCAAGGCTTCAGCTTGAGCCAGGGGTGCAGGATGGTGAGGATGGAGAGCACAGAGGAGGTGAGGCCGCAGAGCCCCACGAAGCCGGAGCTGGTCCGGTAGAGCCCCAGCTTGTCCAGGGGGATGAAGAGGTCACAGAGGTTCCTCACCAGGTCCAGCAGCAGCGGCGGGTTCTTGCGGAGCACTCGGAGCAGGAGCCGGAGCTGGAGCTGCAGCCTCAGCCCCAGCTGCTGGAGCCGGGTGTCAGCCCGGGCCTGGAGCGCGCTGTCCCCGCCCTTGGCTCGCTTCCCGCCCGCCTCCCGCTCCAGCAGGATGCGGAGCTCGTAGGCGTCGCGGCTCAGGTTCAGCACCAGCGCGAAGAGGAAATACCTGGGGACACAGCGGGAGGGAGCTGGGGGGAAGCACCGGCGCTCGGCCCGCACGGCCCGGGGAGGGACCCCTCGGGCAGCGCCTCACCTGAAGGACCGGTGGCTCCACTTCTCCTGGTCCACGCTGGGGAGGAGCCCGCTCTTGCCGGCCCAGAGCACGTTGTCGCAGGCCAGGTACAAGGCCCTGTTGAGGTGGCCGAGGGTGACGCAGAACCGCAGCACCGTGTCCGAGAGGTGCATGGCCCGCTTGGCCGCCTCCACGGCCTCCGCGGCGCTGCCGAGGCGCAGCACTGCGGGCGGACACCGCCGGTCACTGGGGCCGCCCGCCCGCCCCGGGCCCGCTCCCCCCGCCGCGGCTGCACTCACGCTTGCGGCCCAGGCTGAGGTGCGCCTCCAGCTGCCGGACGCTCGCCAGGGCCGCGGCGCTCGCCCCGTTCCTTCGCAGCGTGTCCGCGGCCAGCGCACAGGCGTATTGCGCGGCCCTGCAAGAGAGCGCGGGTCAGCACGGCCGCACCGGCGCCGGGCGCCCCGGGGAGCCGGGAGCCGCCGCCCGCACCTGAGGAGCCGCTCCTTGGCCTGGGTCTGAGCGCTGAAGCGCACCCAGGGCTCCATGGCCGCGCCGGGCCGGGCCCGCGACGCGAAGCGGAGCCGCCTCCGGCAGCGCGGTAGAAGGCGGTGACGGGCTGAACGAGCGCTCTGATTGGCTGCGGTCGGCGGGCTCCGCCTTGCAGTGTGTATCGAAGGGTTTGATTGGCTTCTTTCTGCACGCCGCTCAGAAGGCGATCGCAATTCTCCCACCCCCATCTCCGTTTCGATTGGTTGATTTCTCTGTCATTATAATCAGCCCTGCAGCACGATTGGGCTGCTGTCTCTAAGCCTCGCCTTCTCACCCCGTCCCTCACTTGCGATTGGGGCACGTAACTCGGGTGCGCCACACGCTCTCCACAAGCGAGTTCTGATTGGGAGCTCTCCCAGCGCCCCGCCCACATTCCGGCACTCTGCCCTGCCATTGGCCCGCTGCCTCTCTCCTCCCTCCATCCCTCCCCCCTTTCCCGAATCCTTCTCCGCGTTGCCATTGGTCAGCTCTCGCCTCCGTCCCGCCCCCTCCCTGAGGCGATCCGCACGCCCATTGGCCCCTCGGGCTGTGAGTGACGGCGGCTGGCGGCGGGGCTCCCTCCCTGGTTGCGATGGAGTCGGTGCGGGCGGCGCGACTGCAGCCGGGGCTGGGCTCGCTGCGCTCCCTGCGCCCGGGGGTCACCGGGGCCCCGGCCCCGCCGCCCGGCCCAGCGGCAGCGCTGCCAGCAGCGGCTCCGGGGCTGGGGCTGGGGCTGCCGCCGCCGCCGCCCCCGCTGGGGCTGCAGGGACCCGCCGCGCCGCCGCTGCCCGGCTGCGGGCCGCCCGCTGTGCTGCGGGAGGCGGTGGAGGCCGTGGTGAGGAGCTTCGCCAAGCACACGCAGGGCTACGGCCGCGGTGAGCGGGGCTGCGGGAGCGGGGGGTGAGCCCCACGCCGGGCCTCAGGGCAGCTCCAGGGTCCCTGGCACGGGCTTTGGGCACGGGGCGGGGGGACGGGAGGAGGGGAATGGGTTTAACGTGGGCTCTGGTCCCCCCGCTTGTTGTCGCTGGGTTCGGTGTCGGGAATCGGCGTTGACCGGTGCCGTTCCTGGGGGCTTTTCCCATGTGCGGTTTCAGTCGGTTCCAGTCGGATTTGTTTGCTTTTTAGTCACTTTTAATGAGCTTTATTTGTTTACGTGCCCCACAGCGACCCATGGACACCTCATAGAGCCCCCCAGCATCTCCTGTAGGGTGACCCCACCCCCATAGACACCCTATAGGTATCCCATCATGACCTACAGTGACCCATAGACAGCCCATAGACACCCTATAGAGACCCTCCACGACCCATAGAGACCCTATTGAGATTCTCTGCGACCCACAGATACCCTATAGAGACCACCCTCTGCACCCCACAGATACCCAGTAGTGACCCACAATGATCCATGAGCACCACATAGCAACCCATAGACATGCTATAGACACAACATAGTGACATAGAGATCCCCATAATGACCTACAGCAACCAATAGACACCCCCTAGCGACCCATAGGTACCCTATGGAGACCCTCCACAAGCCAATAGCAACCCATAGTGACCCATGGACACCCTATAGACACCCCACAGTGACCCCGAGCCACCCAAGCTCAAGCCTTGTGCTTGGGATCTCCCACCCAGAGAGAGACCTTTATGGTTTAGGTGGTGTGAAAGGTGTGGGACACAAGGTAGGGCACAACCAGAGGTGCCCAGGAGGGTGCAGGACCTGGAGCGGGTCCCTGCCTGGTGGGATAAAGCAGAGGAGGATTCTCCCTTGTGCTGTGACCCAGAAAAGGTGGATAAGGTGGCGGCTGCTTGAGTTGTTTGAGCCTTTTTGGAGTGTTTAAGGAGGCTTCGTCTCACGTGGGAGCGATTTGGTCGGTCCTTGACTTCAGCTTGATGGCAGCACAAGGAAACCCCTGCTTCCTCTCAGTGATCCCGGGAAACTCCTCCTTTCCTGGGATTGCCCTCACTTCCCTGCTCCTCACCTCACCGAGGAGAATCCCTATAGCTGAGAGAAGTCACCGGGAAGGGGCTGCTGATGTCTGGGAAGCATTCCACCATTCTCCGGCTCCATGGGGCTGCATCCAAGTGTTGCATCAGAGACTCTGGGATTCGTGTCCACTCCTTGTTCTTGAACAAAGACCAAAACCAAAGGTTAAAGCTCAGATTTTCCTGGTCCTGGGATGGAAGAACGCTTCTGAGCTCCCCCAAAAGGAGACGCTTTGCCACTGGTTTGAGTTCCTGACTTCCGGCAGGTCCAGCAGAGGCTGGGAGTGCTTGGCAGGAGCAGGGAATGCTGCTCGTCTGGCTCCGGAGTAGCTGGGCTCCATGTGGAATCACTTATTCCTCTGTATTTAATATGCAAGGCAGATGTGCTGTGGGATCCACAGCTCCAGAGCCAGAAACAGAGCTTGGAGCTAATGGGCAGAGCAGGCTCTGTGTTGTGTCAAGCAGGATGCAAAGAGAACAGTGCTGCTTCAGTCATGGAATCATGAAATACTTTGGGAAGGGACGTTAAGGCTCATCTAAAGCCATGGACAGGGACACCTTCCACTAGAGGAGGGTGCTCCAAGCCCCGTCCAACCTGGCCTTGAACACTGCCAGGGACGGGGCAAATTATTCAGTCCTTTTCTCTTGTGTTTCATGTTCCATATGGGAGTAAAATCCTTCAGGATGCATGTGTCCTTGCTTCTTTAAGGACCAGTCTCACAAAGATGGCACCGACCAGGATTTAGGATGCTTGTTTCCAATCTTCTGCCTCTTTCCAAGGGTGAAAGTCATGGATTGAGGGCAAATTCAGCCTGAAGATCGGATTCCAGACTTGGATTGAAGCTCTCAGCCAGGGTTTAGCTGCTCAGCACCACTTGGGCAGCCTTGCATTGAGGAGAGGGCAGATGCTTCCTGCTCCTCTCACTGCCATTTGCTCTCCAGCCCTAGAGATCTCATTATCCCAAAGGATCTGTAGAGTTTCCAGTAGGTACTTTACTTTTCTACAACGTTCTTGTATCTGGAAGTATTGAATCCAGTCAAATCCCAACCCTTTTGGCCACATCTCAGTGCTCTGCCCTATTACTCCAGTCACTAAGGAAGCACCTGCACGCCCTCTCCCCACGCCGCTGAGCCTGACTGTGGGTCAGAGAATCCCACAATGGGGTCGGCTGGAAGGGACTTTCTTCCCAATATTCCACCTCAGTCTCCCCCCTGGCAGGTTAAAGCCATTCCCTTTGTCCTGTCCCTCCATCTCTTGTCCAAAGTCCCTCTCCAGGTTTCCTGTAGCCCCTATAGGAGCTGCTCTAAGGTCTCCTTTAGGAGCCTTCTCCAGGGAGCTCCACGTCCTTTTGATGCTGTCCCCCCCAAGCTGGATCAGGGCTGTGGGGTTGGGGGGGGATCTGGTTCCCTGTGTCTGACCTCAGTTCTCTCCCTGTGCCCTCAGTGAACGTCGTGGAGGCCCTTCAGGAGTTCTGGCAGATGAAGCAGTCACGCGGCGCTGACCTGAAGAACGGAGCCCTCGTGGTGTACGAGATGGTCCCTTCCAACAGCCCCCCTTACGTCTGCTACGTCACCCTGCCCGGGGGCAGCTGCTTCGGCAGCTTCCAGGTACCTGGGGCTCAGGTGGGGCTGTCCCTCCTGCAGAGCTTGCTCTCACACTTGGGTCCCCACCACCACTGATGCTTCAGTAGCTTCCTGGGGGCAGCAGCACTGTTCTCCGGCTGGTTGGCAGCATGGGAATGCCATGGGATCTGCCTGTAACCCTCTTCTGTTTCAAGCTGCCTCCTAAATGTTCCTATAAACCCTCATCCAGCAGCAATCGGGATGCTGCTTTTACTTTGCTGGATGTGTTCCCTGCTTGTACCTCAGCAGTGCTGGGGTGGGATCCATGCTTCTGGAGACCACCATTTGATGGCTGGTTTTCATCTTTCAGCCTCCTTCCCAGTGAGATCCATTTCCAAACTGGTAAAGCACCATTCCCATTTCACCCAGAACCTCTTCCCAAAGGTGGCAAATGGCTTGAGAAACGATTGGGTTGATAGGAGGAGCAAAGGAAAGGGTCCAGCCCAGAAATGAAGGTCCCAAACTCACGCTGGGTCCTGACAGCGCTTCCCATTCCTGCACTCTCCTGGCTTCAGGCATTTAACTTCCATGCCCTGAAGGATGTATCCCAAAGGAACAGCTCTGGCAACCCCAGGCCCAAGGAATGGTCTTTGTGGTCCTTGGGTTTGTTGTTGTGCTCAGTGGCATTTCCTGGTGCTGAGCTCAGCCGCCTCCCTGCTCCCTGTGCTTGGCGTGCTTGGGATAACTGTGGTTTCCTAAGGATTCCAGGCTGTCCGAGCGTGCCACATCCCAGCAGCGCCACCCAGTTCCCACTGGGAGCAAAGGGCTCTCTCATGGGGTCTGTGTCTCCCCAGTTCTGTCCCACCAAGGCTGAAGCCCGGAGGAGCGCTGCCAAGATCGCGCTGATGAATTCCGTGTTCAATGAGCACCCTTCCCGACGGATCACGGATGAGTTCATTGAGAAGAGTGTTTCCGAGGCTCTGGCATCCTTCAACGTAAGGCTTTCCCATTGATGGGGGTGAGGGAAAACCTCAAATGACGGGAAGAGAAGGTTGCTTTTCCAGCTGGAATTCTTTATGGCAGGTTTGGGGGCTGGTTTTATAGTGAGGATTAAAACTTATCCCGGAGGGAATTCTCACTGCAGTGGTACACAGATGGTGCCCAGAGCCACGCTGGGTTGGGAATTGCAGCTCTTGTCTGAATGTCTCCTGCAGGGCAATCGAGAGGAAGCTGATAATCCCAACACCGGGATCGGTGCCTTCCGCTTCATGCTGGAATCTAACAAGGGGAAATCGATGCTGGAGTTCCAGGTACTGCTCACAGGGGAATGCCATGGATCCGTTCCCGCTCCATCTGGGGGTTTGGGTGCATCCCAAAGTCCCTTGTGTCGCTGCAGTGGGGGTTCCTTGCCTTAGGGAAGCTTTTCCTGTAGCACTTGCCTGGCTACTTTCCCTGGGATGGAAACGCTCCAGAGGTAGGAGCCAGCCCTGTTTATATGGACAGGCTGTTTACAGAGGGTATTCCTCAGGCTGGGATTGGCTTTGGGAATCTTGACCCTGCATCTGGGTAACCTTGAGGGAGTCTTTGCCTTCCAGCCTCTGGAACTGGGAACAGGCTCCATGATCCCTGGAGCTGCAAAGGATGGGACGTGATGTTCCAGAGTCCTTCCTTTGTGCCTGAAGCTGGAACCGGCTTGGCTGCTCGTGACACCGAGTCCTCATCCCAACACGTGCTCCTGACTCTTCCCCCTCATCCCACACTTTTTTCCTGACCCCCTCGTGCTATTGCAGGAGCTGATGACCGTGTTCCAGTTGCTGCATTGGAACGGCAGCCTCAAAGCCATGCGGGAGAGGCAGTGCTCACGGCAGGTGAGTCCCGCTATCCCGAGAAGCATTCGCAACGCCTTATCCTCTTCCCAAAGCTCCTGTAGCTCACTCAGCACCCTGTATCCTGTGCAGTGACTTCTTTTCCCTGCCATTCCCACCAGGAGGTCCTGGCTCACTATTCCCACCGTGCTCTGGATGATGACATAAGGAACCAGATGGCCATGGACTGGGTGAACCGGGAGCAGAGCAGCCCGGGGGCTCTTTCCAGGGAGCTGGCATCCACGGAGCGGGAGCTGGATGAAGCCCGCCTGGCTGGGAAGGAGCTGCGCTTCCATAAGGAGAAGAAAGACATCCTGATGCTGGCCGCTGGCCAGCTGGGAAGCACACACTCCTCCAGCTGCTAGGCTCCAGTGCTGGCATCCCAATTCCCAATGGGTTCTAGCCCTAATGCATGTTCCCAACTTCTGGCCCATTTGCACAGCGGAGAGGAATTGGAAAGGGAAAAGCTCCTTTAGAGATCTCAAAACCATGTTGTAATACTTTGCTTCCAGCTGTGCTCCTCCTGCTCTGGTGGTATTCCAGAGGCGGCAGCATTCCAGGGATTTAGCACTTCTTGGAGCACAGACCTGCTTTCTGGTGCTGTTCTGCTTCTAGAATAGAGGGGGCTCTATCAAACCCCTTCACAACGAGTTCAAGCCCAGAGGGGAAAAGCTCCTGAGCATGGCAAAAGGGACTTAAACTGGGATCTTGTCTGGCCAGGCTTAAACATGGGAATCCGGCATTCCAGGCTTGGGATTTGCAGCCCTGCTCTGGCTCTTCATGCCCAGGGTGGGCTGTAGTGCATTAACAACCACGCCATATGGTGCTTAAGGGGGGTTTAATTCATCTCCTGCCCTGCTCCTCCTTAATCCTTGTTGGATGCTTGGAGTGTTGAACCCAAATCCCAGCTGCAGCTGGGAGCTCTGCTGGCAATGGAGGGTTTGGGTTTCCAGGTGAGTGTTTGATGCTCAAAGGAGGTGGATGTTCCTTCTGGAGCATCCTTCCCAAGCCAGCTTCCAAAGGCCTAGCTAGGCTTCCCATGGGAAGCAGGGAATGGGGAGTCCTGGGAATGCCAGGACTTCAAATCAGGTCTGGTTCCCTGCAGCTGGGGTTAAGTCCCAGTTAACCAGAGCTGGGTTTAAGTCTTGCTAAACCAGAACTCATTTTAAGTCTTGCTTAACCAGAGCAGTGTTTAAGCCTCACTTAACTAGAACTGATTTTAAGTTGTCCTTAACCAGACTGAAGTGTTTTAAGTCTCAGTTAACTAGAACTGATTTTAAGTCTTCCTTAACCAGACTGAAGTGTTTAAGTCTCAGTTAACCAGCGCTGTGCTTAAACCTCAGGTAACTGGAACTGATTTGAAGTGTCAGCTAACTGGAGCTGGGTTTAAGTCTTTGTTAACCAGATCAGTGTTTAAGCCTTACCTAACCAGAGCTGGGTTTAAGTCTTGCTTAACCAGAGCAGTGTTGAAGTCTCAGTTAACCAGAGCTGTTTATGTCTTGCTTAACCAGAACTCACTTTAAGTCTTGCTTAACCAGAACAGTGTTGAAGTGTCACTTAACTAGAACTGATTTTAAGTCTTGCTTAAGCAGTGTTTAAGTCTTCATTAACCAGAACAGTGTTTAAGTCTTACCTAAGCAGAGCTGGGTTTAAGTCTTGCTTAACCAGAACTCACTTTAAGTCTTCGTTAACCAGAGCCATGTTTAACCCCGAGCCAGGGCTCAGGTCCTGCCCCTTGCTCCCGGCCATTCCCAAACCCCTTCCTCCTTTTCCAACGCGGGCAGCTGGAATTCCACCCCCCGCCTTAGCCGTAGCTCCTCCACTTTTGTAATCTTGTCCTAACAAACCCGGGTTAGTGGGATTTGTACCTTTTTTATATACGCAACCTCTTGCCACGATGCTTAATGTCTGATGGGATGGAAATGGGGGGGATTTGCCGCTGTTACTCCTTCTTCCATTGGGATGGGATCACTGGTGCTTCTGGAGCCTTCCAGAACCATCTGGAGCATCAGGCAGCCTCGGACCCTGCTGTGAGACTCTGCCTCTGCCCAGAGGCTGGGAAAGGAGCAAATCCCGGTTCCTAGAGCATCCCATGGGATTCTCAGTGTTCAGGCAGTGACGGGGCGAATCGCTGCCACCACAGCGCCTTGTGTACGACTTTATGCAATAAACACCCGATTTGGGGTAACTGCGGCGGCTTCGTCTTCCTCAGGGGTGCAGCGTTGGGGAGGGCGGAGGCACCGCGACCTCCCCAAGATGGCGGCGACGCCGGTTCCGCCGCACCCGTGTGGGGAGCGCTGCACGGGAAGCTGCGCCATCAGAGCTGCGCGAGAGCGCAGACATCTTGGGTCTCATCAGCTGCAAGCCACGGGAGAAGCGCGCAAGGGAAGCCCAGAGGAACGGAAGAGAGAACACCGAGAGAGCTGCTGAGAACTGCACTCACTGGGACAGGAAGGGGCTGAGGGAAGGAGGAGCCGTTGTAGCCCGGTACTGCCCGGGGTGCCGGTGCGAAGTTACCGCCGCCGTTGGAGAGCGCTCTCAGACGCGCTGTGCCGCGGAATAAAGCTCTTGGTGCGCCGGCAGCAGCGGGGCCCGGCAGCAGCTGCCACAGCCGGCGCCCGAGCAGGCACCCGGGAGGTAACCGCCAGCTCGAAGCGGAGCAGGAGGCTGCGGGCAGGGAGCGGGACCCCGGCGCTGCGCTCGATCCTCTCTGCAGGACAGAGGTGAGCGGCGGGAGAGATGGGTTCGGAAGCGTCTGGAGAGGAGGCGAACGTGTGCGGGGCGCTGGGAGCCGCGATGGCCGAGCTGCGCAGGTTGCCGAGCTGGGTCTCCCGGGAGGTCCCGGGCGTAGACGCCATGAACGTTTATGACCCTGCCAAGGGCGCTGTAGCAGGGGTTAAGCTCTCGGACCAGGCCACCCGGGGAGACCCCACAGCATCGAGCTTGTCGTCTCCTTGCCGCGCTGTGGTCGAGGTGATAAAGAAACACATCGACTCAATAGATCCAGCCAAGCCTTCCGGCCCCCCGGCACTCGGAGCGGCGGCACCGGAGGAGCCAAGCGGAGATAACCCCGCTGATCCCGGACCGATCAGCCCGGCCGCAGCGCCCGAGCTCTGCCCCCCGGACCCGGGTGATGTGTGGAGAAACGTGAGGGAAGGGGCGGAGCAGGAGGGCGATGTGGAGCTGCTCCTGAAGCTGAACGATGCCTGTCCCATCCCGTACGGGGCGCGCTGGGGAGGGCTCAGTTTTACTCTGGTCAGGGAGCTGCAGAAGGCGGTTTTAGATTTCGGCCTGGCAGCCCCGTATTCGAGGAAGCTCCTGCAGTCCGTTATGAGCAGTTATCCCTTATACCCGTGGGACTGTAAAGTGCTGGCAAAGTTAATTTTAACGCCCACCCAATATGCCTTTTGGTCCATGTTTTGGGAGGAAGCCGCCCAACAAAGAGCCGTTCGTTATCTCGGATGTTGCCGTGGAGACCCGGTAGGAGCGTTGGGTGTAGACGCGCTCTTGGGAAAGGGTCGGTACGCTGCAGCCGCCGCTCAGGCTCAGCTGCCGGTCACCACCTTGCACGATGCCAGGGAGGCCGCGCTCCAAGCGTTCCTGAAGATACCGGATCCCGGAAAGCCGCGCCGATCATTCAGCAGCCTCCGACAAGGGCCCACGGAGCCCTTTGAGCAGTTTATCGATAAGCTCAAAGATATTCTGGATAAGCAAGTAGACAACGAAGAGGTGAAGGAGATTTTACTGAAAATATTCGCAATGAAAAATGCAAATGACGACTGCAAAAACATCTTACGGCCACTGGACAATCCAACAGTGTTAGAAATGATCGAAGCCTGTAACAGCGTGGGAACGATCTCCCACCAGTGCTCACTGATAGCCTCTGCTGTGGCGGCTCTGAAAATCTCCCAACAAAGCTGTTTCTCCTGCGGACAACCCGGGCACGTGAAGCGCAGCTGCCCAGCTCGTCAGAGGGTGCAGGGCCCGGGGGCCTGTCCCAGGGGTCAGAAGGGGCATCACGGCGGCAGTCAGTGCCGGTCGCGCTTCGGGAAGGACGGCAGGCCGATGCCAGCAGACGGGAACCGGAGCGCAAAGCGGGGTCGAGCGGTGGCACAAGCAGGCCCTGCGCCTCCCGGCACGGCCGGGCCCCTGCATCCAGCCTGGTCCCCAGAGCAGGCCCCAGCGCGGCAGGGGGGCTGGCAACGTCAGCGTCAGTAACTTTGAGCGCAGCGGCGGTCCAGGCTGTTCCCACAGGAATGTGGGGGCCGCTAGGAAACAACAGAAGTGCCTTATTGATGGGACGTTCTTCACATTCCACGCTAGGGCTTTTTGTAGTGCCTGGTTTAATCGATACTGGCTTTAAACAAGAAGTCAAAATCAAAGTATGGACCCCAGTACCCCCGTGTTCTGTTCCAGCGAAGTCACGAATTGCACAATTGATCTGCGTTGAGGCGTGCCGGCCACAGAAAGAGGGACTTAAAGTTGGGGTCAGCAGGAGCCCCTCAGATATTACAAGCTCAAAAAATCTCTGGGTCTGGACCTCTGTTGAAATGCAAACTGGAAGCAGAAAACCCGGAACGATCTATCGTGTTATCAGGATTAACGGACACAGGAGCAGATGCGCCCGTTATCTCTGCAGCCTCATGGCCTCCCGATTGGCAAGTAGAGCAAGTACCCACAGCAGTCACAGGCACAGGAGGCCACATTCTGCCCAGATGAAGTCGTGACTTAGTTCACGTTACAGGCCCAGAAGGACACAGAGCTGGGGTGCGTCCTTTTGTTCTCCTGACCCCCATAACACTTTGGTGACGAGACCTCCTGAGCATTAGCACCCATTTATCCTGAGGGCCACTGATGAGCAGCGCACCCTAAACCTGACACTGCGGGGTGGGTGGCTCAGTGGCCCCTCTTGAAAAGCTGCACCAGTTACAGAAGTTGGTAGATGAACAGCTTCAGACAGTTGGCAAAAGCGCCGTTTGTACTAAATTTCTTAAACTTGTCTAGTTTTGATTCTCCTTCCACAATACAGCGCTTGTGATGTCTGATGGACGCTTCCTTGCCCAAACCACCAGTTCCATATAGAGACCTGCATGATGAGGAGTGGAAAGGACCAGTGCCATTGCTGACATGGGGTCAAGGGTACGGCTGCGTACAGCTGTCGACAGCACCGTACTCGCTGCCAGCGAAGCGTAGAAAGCCCAGAATTCAACAACATAAAGAAGTGACAATGACAGAAATCTTTGTAATATCTGTTCTATTATGTGTGACCATGGGTAATGGACAAGTATACTGGGCACATTCACTAAATCCCCCATTATTCCAACCTGTTACATGGTGGGATGGGGAAACACCAATTTTAAATGAAGAAACAGCATGGCTTGGTGGAAAATGCATTCCACCCAGTCCTAGTGATGTCAGTGACAAGGTAATGTTGAAAAGTGCCACATTTTATACAGCTACTCCTCCGATTTGCATTAACAAATCTAGAACAAATGGGACTCTCGAATGGTGTGTAGGATTCACTGGTATGCCACGTGTTACAGAGGTTCGAGTGACTTCAAATCAGACTAAATTTACTGAAATGGTAGTAGCATACCTGTTAAGCGAAGAGCTGCTGCATGGCTACCAGTGAATCTCACCCCAGAATGGGAAAGGGAATGTTCGATTGTTACAAACATATTCAAGACAGAAAGCGTAGAATTAGGTGTTTTATAGGTTGGCTTTTCTTTGCTATAATATCAGCTATTGTAATATCAGCTGCTGCGTCTGCTGGTACTGCATCACTAACAAAACCAGTACAAACGGCTCACACTGTTAGCCAGGCTTTGCAAAATGTCACTAATGAACTTAGTACTCAAACCACAAGTGATTTAATCCTTTTGTTAATCTTTCTGTACATTCTAATCGGTGTGCCTTGGTTACGTCAATGTTTACAACGACTTTCTGAGAAATCTAGAAAAGCTGTCTTTATAGTAAAACAGGAGGGGGGAGATGTGGGTAATGGGACAGAAATAGGTCATGAAATGGATCCTGGTCGGGCTTCAGCCTTGGGAAGGGTAAAGAGAACAATGAAGGGTCAAGATCAGTTAGCAAAACAAAGCAGGCGGTTTGCAAGATAAAACAGGATGTGCAGCTCAAAACCAGAGCAAACCCTGTAAATATTTGTGACCGTTGGTGGTTTTGCTGAATCGGGATGAGAAGGAAGTAAGAGGAGTGGAAAATTACTGCTTAGCGCTTAGTAGACTGTAAAAGGGATGTGAGATGTGCAATAAAGGTCTTCAGATTTCACCAGAACTGGAGTCCGTCTTTGATAACGCCACAAGAAATAGCCCCTAAAAAGGAGCAGAATTGCACTGTGGAAATACGTAGGGTGGAAAATAACAGATGAGCACACAGTTCCCCAGTCTGTTAACAAAAATGCTCGACCGTTGAATGATATGCAGAAATTATTAGGTGCCATAAATTGGGTAAGAGCTTTATTAGGACTTCATTCTAATAAAGAGCTACACCCTTTGTTTTCTTTACTAAAGGGCCACCCTGCTCTTTAGTTCAGAATGAAAACTGAACCCTAATGCCCAAGAGGCCCTCCCTAAGGTGGCTGTAGCCGTTAGCAATAGGCACAGCAATGCAATCCTGACTGTAGCTTCCATCTAATTATTTGAAATTCTGACTTCCAACCATATAGATTAATTTTCCAATGGGATTTCTCAGATCCAAACCCTTTGCTGTGATTGAATGGGGTTTTTGTCTCACCAATTTGGGAAAACAATAACCACTCGAATTGAAATGTTTTTTGCTCTAATAATAAAGGGCAGACAACGTTTAATCGCCCTTAGTGATAAAGAGCCAACAATAATCGTGTTACCTGTCACAATGCAAATATTA